GTTATCAGTGGTCATCTTGTGGAGGGACTGGCCTCTGCCATAGAAATGTGGAATATCCATCACTGACTTGCGTCCACCGATGGAGTTGAACACTGCCCCATGCTCCACTGGGTTTAGGAGATATTTCGGTTCCTTTTACTCTGCCTTATAGATGTTAAAGGAATGTGTTGTTACTCTTTGATTCTTTCGGTAAAGTCACGTAGGTATAAAATAAATTAAATTAAATCACGACGTTTCGATCGCAACACAAGCGACCATCATCAGGTGGAATCGATACAGCAGGACACACTTCAAATCTAGATTCAATGTGTTGTTGTTTTTTAAACAAGATTGTGAGCATCGTGATTGTAATTTCTTGCAATGAAAATTCGTGAATTGCAATAAAAAGGGATTAGAACCATTCCAATCCTGTTAATAAAAATAAAATAAGGATGGGGATCTATTCCAAGTTTTAGCAACAAATTCATGCGAAAATATTGGTTCATTTTTCGCCCCGCCCTTAATTATACACTGACCAAATTTACTGATAATACTGTACCTGCTTGCTGAGAAATGTGAATATGAAGCAGTTCTTTAATGGGAAAATGTTTTATTCCTGACAAGATAAACCAAATGTCGTCTAAATGATGGATGTATCATGTGTGTGAGCCTAATGTGGAACTTCAGTGCTCTAGATATCAAAAGCGCAATTCATTTGTTGGTGAATACACACTTTTGTCTGCCTTTTTGCTGACATATGCCAAAGTGTACGACGTTATCAACAACATCAACGGGGCAAATCGCCAAGGCGATGGGTTTCGGGCATTTTGTCGAGATGTGATTCTGGATCTTGATTTTGTTGTCCGCATGCAGCGTACGATGGAAAGCAGCTGATGCTGCTGCTGCTGCTGTACGTGTGTGTGTGCACGTGGGTCTGATTGGACTTGTTATCTTCCCGAGTGTTTTCTCTGCTTGACCTCACTTGCCCACCCCACTGAACGTACGTTTGCAGGCAAACAATTCGTATCTCCAGCAGCGAGCTGCAGGTGTTGGGGAAGCAGCCAAAAAGAGATGTTTCAGGCACGCGTGGCAATCACAAACAAACCAATTGAACGGCTGGCTTAGAGAAGAAAAAGAAAGACACGCGGCTTTGAGTACGTTGCTGCTTGCTGTGTTCAGGTATCAACATCAACTTCAGATATTAACAAAGCCACAATCGTCCCTGCTCAAATGAATACTGGGAGTGGGGTTAGCAATGCTCCTCAGGTAGAATAAGTAAGGATTTGCAATGCATTCGTTGCTTGAAATGCCACAGCATATAAAAGCTGCAAACAAAACGCAATCAATAAAAATACACTAAATAGCCAGGGCAAAGAGAAGCGAAAACACAGCATGAGAAAACAATGAGACATGAAACCATAACGAGGACAGGGCATCCTCGACCTAGGGATAAACGAGAACGCACGCACGTACACTCACAATGGCAACGGATAGCCAAGGAGAATCCAAGAATCAGTTGAGACCAAGAGCAAGCCTGGCAATGAGAGGATTACATTCCCAGCCGTCGGTCAAGCACCGAATTGCTGCACTACTTCAGAAGTATGGCCTACCGTCCTTTAGGTAAAAAGTCTCATGGGGGTTCCATCAACCCCGGATTACTGATGCCCAACCACGACACGTAAAACACGCAAGGATGCAGCCCTGCAATCACGTGCACTCCCCCCACTAGCACGGTTGGCTACGTACGGTGCGAAATAATTTGAGCATACACACTAGTAAAAAAAAACGTGTGCTGTACTTTTACGATTGCTTCAAATTCACACGTATTTGCTGGAATGTGCACTTAAACCTTGCAGTACTTTACATTGCAATGATTTTATTACTTGCGTTATAGTGTCATTGGGGGCGCATTGCATTGATGCCATCCTCGCAAGAGCCCACAACGCCATCACGAACGCGTTGTGATTCGTAATACCGGTCGCAGAAGACATCGCGTTAAATGGTCATCTTTCCCCGTCATCATTTTGTGTAATGAATGTAAAATGTTCTCACCGTGACTTTTTCTCTGCTTCTCACGCTGCCCGCGTCTGTCTGTGCGTCTCTCACAGCCGCTGTGCATGATGAGTACCCGTGTCTCTCTCTGTACACGCATATTTACTCATCATGCCACTGCTGCCACCGAGATCTCCAGAAAGCCGCTCCAGAAGGAGCTCTAGACAGCCACTCTCTCTCGAGAGACTATTTTGGCCTACTCTTCCACACTTGCCAGATGTCTTGTAATACCTGTGAGTATTCTAAACTAAAGATTTTTTTTTATTTTACAAGGTAAGGCCCACTGAGCAATATAGCTATTTTTCAGCTATCACAAATGATAGCTCAACGAATCTGTTCATCATGTGGAAATTAATATCAGCCAAATATTCTTAAACCCATGCGACCACAGGGAGAACATGCAAACTCCAAATATAGCCGTCAGGATGGCGATCGCACCCACAACCTCCTGTATACTTGGCGAGGTAGTTAACATATTACAATGGCAAGATAGACAGAGATATTCAAACTCCAAATATACAGCAGCAGGCGTCAGGGTCTGGATTGAACCCACGACCTCCTGCATACTAGGCGAGGTAGTTAACATCGCACTGCCGTGGCGCCCCAACTCACACTCTATCCCACCACACACAACCTGCTGTGTAGCCATTTGTACTGCGAGGTGTACAGAGGAGGGGGAGATTTAGCAAACTTGCACTGTTGTTTCAACTGCATGAAAAACAACATCGTATTGCACTTCACGGTGTTCTGCAGCTTAGAACACAACGGGCAATATTCAAGACGTCTTATGAGAGCATACCTCAAATGACCTCTTTATTGAACTGTAAAAAGTAAATCTGTGCATGCATGGCTATCATCTGCATTTTTAGAAAAGGTAAAGATGTGGGTGGGGTCTTAAAGATCGTGTGGCCAATTGAGGTCATTGAATACATAATTGCACGGCTACTCCTATATTACTTTTGATAGCAGCACCTGGAGAATTTGAATGGCCCAAAGTATGTAATTTCGCTTAAGTGTGCGATTACCGTTGGTGCCAGCTCGAGAGATGAAGGTGCCCAAACTGTTGTAATCTCAACAGAAAGTGCTGAGGAGGCGAATTCCATCAGCTCCCTTTAAAATGAGACGCACACATTTTATTCGAGTGTAAAGTTTGAGAAGAGCAGACAAAGTTGCAGAGCGAGTGATCGTGAGCAATGGGGCAGCATAGTTGAAGAGTGATGTGACTGGATAGACATATAAAGTCGGGATGATCCAGAGAGTGCTGAATATTGCATTCTTATGTCATTCATGTTGACTTCATATGACAAATAACTCTGGATAATATTCAACTGGTCAGGTGGATCAGCTGCAGAGTCATCAGATCCCAATCATAAGAAGTTCAAATCCTGGTTAAGGGGGTTAACTCTGTCCATCATCCTTCCAGGGTAAATAAATGAAGTACCACTTTGTGGATATGTCAACAGTGGATTGGGCCCATGGTTATACTCACCCCCGCCATAATAATGTGGAATTTCCACCAGGAGATTAGCGCAACTCAAAATGCTCATTCGAGCAGAAATCACCTTTGTTTTCACTTGTGTCATATTTTCGTGCAAGCTTCTCTCTAAAATGTGACATTATAAATCAGCGAGTTGTTATTTCACTCTGAAGACTGATTTATATATTGTGTATAGATCGTCTCTTACATGGCTAATCCAACCTGAAATGTAAAGGTGACCAATATATTACAGTACAGCAAATATAATGTACAGCTATTTTCAAAGCTTTGTTAACCCTTTTTCATTGTGTGTGAATTTCTTGGGCACTTTGGTTTATTTTATAGATTTTTTCTCCCCCAGATGCAGAACATTTCATGCAGGGCCGTTGTGCACAAGTGTCATGGCAATCTATGACGCTTTCCTTAAATGAATGTAGAATACGTGTGATTTGTGCAAATTATACACAAATATTACACGTGTAGAGGAGTAAAAAGGGGACGTGACGTCAGGTGTGCCGTTCAGTGCGATGACGTCACGTCTCCTAGGGTACTTAAGGGAGACCCCGTGACGTAAGCGGGGTCACTGTGGGAACGGGTAGAGTAAACAGGGTGAAGAGGGAACCAGGGGTAGAGAGAGGGATCGAATAGGGAGTCTGGGGAGAAGCCGGTGGTAGCCGTAGAGGTGCTCTCTCTCCGCTCGGTGGAGTCAACAGAGTCCACGATCCGACACGAGAGAGAGAGACCGGAGCTAGCCGGCAGGGACCCGGACTCAGAGTGGGACCCCTAGCCCCTGGGAGTTGTGTACCCTGCTGTGTAATATTGATAAGCTTTAATAAACCCTGGCGGAAGCCCTTAACTTACCTCCGTCTACGAGTACGTCCGTCGGAACTTCTCTACACATGTATGTTAATTGTAACCAAAACTGCACAAATGAGATGAAAAAATAGAGAATAGGTGGTATCTCATATCAATGAAAAAAAAATTCTAAAGTAACTCGATTTTGGTGAGCTTTCAGTTATGAATAAATTGATACTACGTATCACCCAGCGTGGCAGTAATAGATGGAAAAGTATCTCAAAATCCCCCCCCCCCCGTCCCCTCTGTCCACCGAGCAGTAGAAATGGGTTCACCACATTTAGTCAACTTGCAGGCCGCGTTTGGTGGGGTAAACACTAGGCCCTCCCCGGCCTCCACTAAAACATATGAACAATGTGCCAGACTAGGCCACATACCATCTGGAAGGGGCTCTTTTAGAGCTCCCTGTAGTGGTATGCCTTCAGCAGCAGTGGCATAAGTAAGCAATTGCAGGGCTGCCCCTTTACCTAATCCACCTATTATTTCTTCACCTCTATCTCAGACATTGAAATGCCACCTCCGATCGCTCTCAGTCAGCCTCGAGCGAACTTACCCGTTGCACACATGTCATGTTAACCCGCTGAACTTGTCATCTTCTCTGTCTGCCCCTCTTCCTTTCTCCCCCGCGCGTGCGAAGCTGGGCATCCAGACGACCACGCTCACCATCGCCATGAGCCTCAGCGCCTCCGTTTCGCTGGGGATGCTCTTCTGCCCCAAGGTGTACATCGTGCTCCTGAGGCCGGAGCTCAACGTGCAGAAGCGCAAGCGCAGCTTCAAAGCCGTCGTGACGGCCGCCTCCGCCACCCAGAAGCTGTCGCACAAGGCGAGCGAGAGACCCAACGGCCAGGCGACGACGGAGCTGTACGAGAACACGGCTGACACTGCTGCTGGTGAGTGTTGAACTTCTTTTGCACCGCACGTAGCCAACCGTAATCATCGGAGGTGCGGGGGAACGACGACAAACTATGTACAGAAATCAATTTTCAAGAAATATAGATTTTAAGCTTTCGTGACTGCAATGATTCATATCCTTGGGTTTTTTTCGGTAAAGTCACGTAGGTAAAAACATTAAAAAGTAAAATAAAATAAAAATCACGACGTTGCCTCCGAAACGTCGTGATTTTTATTTTATTTCACTTTTTAATGTTTTTACCTACGTGACTTTACCGAAAAAAACCTAAGGATAATTTTCAAGAAATTAGTTTTCAATCGAGATTTGAAAGTGCATAGTTCTCGTGGCTTCCTAATACCACAAGGAAGAGTGTTCCAGACGGCCGCAGAAGTGCGTCTGAAAGCGCCGCACGATGCGGTGATCGTCTTCGTTCGATGGCTTAGCCAAAAGCTGCTGCGAGGATGACCAGGGTTCACGTGATGGTTTACGCTCCTTGATGAGATTAGCAAGGCACTGTGGTTCATTCGTGGCAAGCGCTTTGTGTGTAATGAGTGCGGCCTTGCAACGCATTCTTTCTGCAACTGGAAACCAATGCACCAGGCAACGTCACATGGTCCACATCCTCTCTCTCTCGCTGCCTTCAAGTGTCACCTCAACACCTTCCTCTTCAACCCCGTGCCTTCAGACTTCTTAATATCGCTTCCTTTCTCTCATTCATCATCTTGGTTATTCACTCCCGGGTGAGTGAGTGGGTGAGTGAATCGCTTCCGTGCTCTCATTCCCTTGCTTGGTCCATCCCGTTACTTACCGGTGAGTGAGTGGGTGAGTTGCTTCATTTCTCTACATCCCTTGCTTAGTCGTTTCTGGATGAGTGAGTGAGTGATTGGGTGAGTGAGTTCTTTCTTAGCTTGGTCCCTTTGATTATCTCTCGTTTTTAGTTTGTAATTCTGCGCCCTGAGATGTAAGTTGCTGCTGTTGCCAGCTGCCCGCAGTTTACCTCACGCCAGGGTTGGTCAGCTGAGGTCATCAAGAAAGGCTTTTATTTGAAATGCCTCACCTATGAGCTTTCCAGACAATATTGGTGTGGAAAGCCAATATGCCGATGAGTATATTTATATGCGGGGAGACAGGGTGGAGATCTGTTGATATATGTTATTGCACGTGATGCTCCACCATAACACACAATGAGTTAGTAAAAACAAAACTTTTTTATTTACCAGGTAAAGCAGGAAGTGTTACTACCTAGGCCACATTGCCCGAAACGACCACAAATACCAGCTATTAAAGCAAATCCTGGAAGGAAAAATCGAAGGGAAAAAACGACCAGGACGGCCAAAAACGACATGGCTCAGTAACATCAAAACATGGCTACAATTAACAACAGCACAAACTCTACACGCCGTGCTAGACCGGGACCAATATCATCGTGAAGTCGCACACGCCGTTAGGCAGCACTAAAGAAGAAGAAAGCCCACTGAGCTAATAGCTCCCGTTCACATTATCCAAAACTGGTCAAATGTAAGGTGGATGTTATTTGCATCGCAATGGAAAACAAATTGACGCGGTTGTTTATTTGGCTGTGTCAGGTGGTGGAGGAGGGTGAATGACAGACAGTGGCATTCGTTGAGTGGCATTTTACCCACACGATCGCACCCAACAAGGAACATTTTGGAATCGTGTTTTTTTTTATCCTCAAACTATTGCCCAGAGAGGCCACTGGTTGAACGTTGTGTTTATTGCAGGAATGGTGTGCGCTTTGTTACATACTCAAGGAGCACTTTAAATCGACAAACAAAAATGCATTGTTGACAGTGGCAAGAAGTGGCAAGCATAGTGTTGAGTTGGACATGAAAACATTTTGACAGCTTAACAGCGGCTCTTGAATGTCTGACCTTAGCCAAAGACACAGAACTGAACATAAATTGTAAAATAACCAATGATATGTGTGTGGGTTTTTTACCCTTAATTAAATGCCAGATATGTTGTTTATTGTGCTTTCATGGAAGTCGTATTTTTTTAGTTTTTTTTAAACAAAATTTTAATTATTATCCAGTGAAGATGTGTTGTAAAAAAAACAATTCTATATACATTTACGTAGTATAATAATTTGTAGAAAAAGTAAATTTACAACCACAACTATCACACGTATTTTCATAAAAAACTATTATACTCATTTTTTTTATATAGTACAGATAAGACAATTATTGAATCATCTTGTACAGAAAATGATTGAAAAATATAGTTTCGGGAAATAAAATGTCAATTAATGTTTGCCCAAGGCTCACGAGGGGTTGTAACATACTGAATTCCTGGTCAAGGGACCCACGATGATGCATTATAATGAAGAAGAATGTCAATGGCGGGCAGGTAATTGTGTTTGTATGACATGAGTGCATGAGTGGGAATCAAGGCTATGTCTTGATTAGGATGCTGATCTGCTTAGTATCTCGGCCTAACTCTGGATCTTTATATTTTTTCTGTCTGAATCTAACGAACGCTAAGCTGCGGGAGCAATTTTGACGAGCAATGGCTCATTTTAAAGGTCTTGTTCTAATTGGAAATAGATCCGTATGCCCTGACATATTTCGCTGTTCTGCTGACCCTGAGCAATATGAAGACATTTTTTTTGTATAATGCTTTTAATTAGGTTTTTTTCTTTCTCCCAAACCGCACATGACATTAAGCCAGTGGTGGCTTTTAGCAGTAACACAGCCAAACTAATTCTGTCACACTAATGAAATATTGGCATGCGATGCCATGCTAAAAGCCTGCACTCTCATCAACATCACAGTGGAACCTGTCTAATGCTATGTACCGCTGTCAGTGAACAATATCCTGAACCACCCGACGTACCTCAAGGAGAAGCTGTGTAACCGTGGCTTCAGTGACCGCACGCGACAGCGCACTCACACGCTCTACACCTCATTGCCATGGGAATGCCATGCTAAGGCCCGCATTTTTAAATCCTTTATATTAAGTTCGCTTGCTTGCTTGCGCGCGCGCGCTTACGACCGTGCAAATCTTTAGGTCGTTTTTTAACCCACTTCCCGTGATTCAATCGAGCTGACATTTTGCACACAGACTCGTTGTGCGTGACAATTTCTTTTCGTGAACATTTTTTCCCAAAATTTTACACTTTTTAGGGATTTTTTTTTTAGATTTAATTACCAATTGCTTAATGGTGGCAGGCAATCATCTGACCCATAGGTGGCAGCCATCTCAAGCCAGAGGACGAGAGGACTCTAGCCGCCCGTTTCAAAGACCAATGTGGGCTGGGTTGTGGCCCATTGAACACGCATATAAAGGATTTATAGTGAAAAACTTTGTTTTTACGGGTTAATTTTTTATATTTGCTGTTACACTAACAGCTCATCACGTGGCCATGGATTTTCAGATTGTGAACAAAACAGCAACGCTGTGTTTTCTTTTTGGTTCCGGTATACAATAGCTGTCGGATGTGCTTTCGGGTTGTACCGTATGTCCATCGGCATGCTGGAAGATTCTCGGGGAACTAATTTGACAAATTGCAACCTGAAAACACACCAGAGAGCTACATAGCACAACTGCAAACGCGTGGGTTGTCAACAGAAAGGCAAGACACCACTTTAATTAGTAAAGAGCTCCAGGTGACTGCATTGGCTTCCTCAATTCCTGATCAATTATCTCATTTAGCATGGCTTTCCTTTTCACTTTCAACACGTACAATTTTGAAAGTAAACAAAGACAAAGATCCCTCATACGTCCTTATGCACTGTTTGAGCATGTGTAGTCAGCAATCGCGACATAGAGGCACCACAAAAGCGATACAAAGACTCCCTGAAGAAGTCCCTCACTGCTTGCTGCATCGATCACCGTCAGTGGGCAACACAAGCAGCTGATTGCAACTCCTGGCGGCACACAGTCCACCAGGCCACCTCCTTCTTCGAAGATACCCGCAGGGCCCGTATGGAGGACAAAAGGAGAAGGAGGAAGAACCATGATCCCTCAGCACCCATCCCAGATCAGACCTTCACTTGCAGCCGTTGTGGCAGGACCTGCTTGTCCCGCATAGGCTTCGTCAGCCACCAGCGTGCCTGCAGAAGACGTGGATGTCCTTCCTAGATCTTCGTTCGCGAAGCCAAGCCATGATGATGAGTCAGCAATCACCTGTCAGAGCCTGAATGGCAGCACGATACTTATGTTCGTACACTGTACCACCAGGTGCTCATTTCAGGCCGAGTCAACCTTGGGAATGTCCAGGTTCAGTCCAGATAATGCCCGCCAAGGATTTTAGTTACGTCCGGCATTGAATTGTGGTTTCTGGCTTTGTAGTGAAGTGCGGTAGCCAATGTGCCACCACCCACTGGTACCCACTGTGTCACCACCCACTGGTACCCACTGTGTCACCACCCACTGGTACCCACTGTGTCACCACCCACTGGTACCCACTGTGCCACCACCCACTGGTACCCACTGTGTCACCACCCACTGGTACCCACTGTGTCACCACCCGCTGGTACCCACTGTGTCACCACCCACTGGTACCCACTGTGCCACCACCCACTGGTACCCACTGTGTCACCACCCACTGGTACCCACTGTGTCACCACCCACTGGTACCCACTGTGTCACCACCCGCTGGTACCCACTGTGTCACCACCCACTGGTACCCACTGTGTCACCACCCGCTGGTACCCACTGTGTCACCACCCACTGGTACCCACTGTGTCACCACCCACTGGTACCCACTGTGTCACCACCCACTGGTACCCACTGTGTCACCACCCGCTGGTACCCACTGTGTCACCACCCACTGGTACCCACTGTGTCACCACCCACTGGTACCCACTGTGCCACCACCCGCTGGTACCCACTGTGTCACCACCCACTGGTACCCACTGTGTCACCACCCTCTGGTACCCACTGTGTCACCACCCACTGGTACCCACTGTGTCACCACCCACTGGTACCCACTGTGCCACCACCCACTGGTACCCACTGTGTCACCACCCTCTGGTA